AATTATGAAATTCGTTCGATTGATTATCGATAATCTTGTTTTTTTTTTCTTTTTATTTTATTCGATTAACTTGCATATAAAATAAGTAAAGAATTTAATAGGCGCTTTTTTCTCTTTTTGTTTAAGTCATATCCGATTTTTTTCATACTTATTTCTTCCGTTATGGAATTGAATTTTGAATAGAACAAAACTAAGAACTTCTATTTATATGTCATTTAATTATAAAGAATTTCTATTGAATTGAATCAACAAAAGAAACTAATTAAATGTTCTCATTTTAATCGTAAAGAATATAAACGATCACGATGTTGGAATTGAGAAGATAAGAAGATGATTGCTTTTTTTCATGTTAGTAATATATGATCTATGTTTTTTTTTCTTTTTTCAAACAGACAGATGCTATTAGATGATTACGATAAGATATTTGATATGACACAAAGGAAATGTAAAAAAAAAAAATCTTTATTTTATATAAGTATGATTAGTTTATATGCAAGTTTAAAAAGATAATAAATTAAATGTTTTGTTTTTATTGATATTATTTATACTGGAATATTGGTAAGATGTTTTGTTTGTTCATTTAAGGAACCATTCGCTGGTATATGATATTTACGATAGCGTTGAGTTTTTCGAACCATATATATTATTATAAATGCCAATGCTAAACTAAACATACCGACTATAACTGTAATAGCAAAAATTTTGAGAAATAATCGATCTCGATCTTAAATAGACAAACAAAAAAAAAAGCATAGTATTTATTATGAATGATTATATTCCAAAATGAATTTCTTACTTGTTTTAGCAAGAAAAACAGCTACTTTTTTAGGATCAATTGTAGTAGTCGATGATGTTTCTATATTACTATCATGCGGCAATGTAGAAAATAGCCAAGTCGAATGTGTCACTGGTATTTCACTTGTAGTTGAAGATGTTTCAGTTATTGCATGTGTAATTAATTTTATTTTACTAGATGATGATGATGATGACAATTTAGTTATTACAGGTGTTCTTTGACTAAATTTTTCCTCTTCTGTTTCCTCTTCATCATCGTCGAAAATGTTACCATAATCATGAATAAAATCCATATGAGATGTAGTTACTTTCTTTCCATGTGTTGTTGTTGATTCTATAGTTTTTGGTTTTACTGAATGATCTTCAAGTTCTTCTATCGAATCTTCTATTACTAAAGATGCTGTAGTAGTACTCGGTTTAAACGTTCTAATTGTAGATTCAAGTTCGTCATCATAGTCTTCATAATAATCAGTTTTAACAGGTAAAAATAAACCTAAAATGAATAGAAAATAATAAGAAATGAAATAAATAAATTGAACCTTACTGAGCAATACAAGTATAGATAGATGTATAAACCATGAGAAATGCATTATTGTAAATCATATTATTGTTACAAATTCAATGATGACTATATATACTAACTGATAAGATGTGTCATTATTCATCTTTTTACTTCTCATCTTTCTGATCTTTCATCTATAGCTTACAATAACATCAATAGAAAAGATGCGTATTGATTTGTAATATATGTGGTACAAATGCAATCAAATTTCCACAGGAGAGATATGCATAGAAGTCAAGCGTGAGATGCCATCTTAAAGGAAAAAATTGCAATGATGACATCATAAAATGAATAGGAAGGAAGTAGGAATGTTATTCATTGTATTATTAAGTATCATCTATCAAATTGAATGAGTGCATGAAAAAAAAAAGTAAAACCTTAAAAAAAAGAAAAAGATATGAGACAGTCTATTTTGAACTATTTTAAATTATTGTTTATTTCAACAAAATAACAGTAGATATTGAACTGAAAAATTTTCACTTGTCGAACAACACGAAGAAAAAGTTTTGCACTGATAAGAAGAATATTGAATTTTTTTTCTTCTTATATTCAAAGATAGAATTTCAAGTAAAATTTTCAAAGAAAAACATCATTGTTATCGTATACTAATGATTTTATTATTGCTTTTAAATAGAAATAATTTTCTTTCTCGTTTTAATAATTTATTTTATATTTTCCGTGAATTAAAAGTGCACTTGAGACACACATGTTCAACATTTATTTACATGTCATAATACTACGTTTTTCTTTTCAGATATTTTTTTTTTCTTTTAATGTAACAATAATAATTGTTTTTTATTATTATTATAACTTCTAGACTATTTATTTCAATTCGATGCTAAATTCATAACATATAAACGAAATGAAATCAACATTACCAAGAAACGGCAAAAATTCTTTAACATTTGAAAGTATAGTTTGTTCACAATTAGAATTACAACGGCGTGCTGCATCATTTTCTCATCGTCGAAGTACAACATGTCGACAATCATTACAATGTCCATTGTCATCATCATCAAATCGAATTATGCTATTAACACCTATTTCATCACAATCATCAACATCATATTCAAGTAATCGAACATCAACATCAATGCCATCAGATATTATAAGTCAATTTGTAAAAACAAGAAATTCTAATAGTAGTAAACGTAGTCGAGCATCATCAGCACTTTCTATTAATGGTACTCGAATAGAAAATGTAACAGATCGACAATCTCTTGGCTCAATATTTTATTGGGATCCATCAATAAGAAATGCAACAAATAAAAAAGTATATGACAAGAGATATATCTATATATATGCACTTTTTTTTGGTTCTTTTAGAATGGATCACGATGGAGTATTGATTTTCCAAAAGAAACACCATTTTATTGGAGTTTAAGATCACGTTTAATTGAAGAATACACTGAATCAGAATCTTTACTTGAATTTGCTAAAAAAACTGTTCTTGTACTTATGAAAACAAGTAATTCAAATATAATTTTAAATTATCAATAGATATTTTCTTTTTTTTTTAACATACATATAGAAGAAGCAACAGTTTTTCTTTGTCTTATTCTTGTTCTTCCAATTATAATGATGGGAATTGGTATATTCTAATAGTTTCTTTATTTTTAATTTATCAATCGTTTCTATGTAGGTGTTAGTCATTTAAGTGATTGTCCACGTCAAAAAAATTTACCAATTTATTTATTTGTCGCTGGTATTGTATCAACTACAAAACTTCTTCAAAATATTTGGCATAAATATCGTTTACAACAAAAACGTCTAACTGATGAAGAACCATCATCGAATCATAATGATGGTCATGCATTTATTGATGGTTTAATGACATCATTTCTTGTTATTTGGTTTTTTTTCGGTCAATATTGGTTTGTAACTATAGGATATCCACCATATTTTGAACAACCATTAGAAAATCCAGATATTTGGTGTCATAAAACTGTTGTATATTGTGCATTAGCATCAATAGTTATTACTTATTTTTTATTAATTGCTTTTATTTCTCTTGTGTTATTTCTTGTGTTTTTTACACGATATACAATTATTAAACGAGCATCAGAACATTAATACAGGTTCTAAGTTTCATCATTTAGAAATAAACGTTTGTAATCATTCATGCAACTATTCATCAAGAGTAAAAATCGAAACAACTGCTTTCTTTCTTTGCTTAATCACATGTGATTTCACTTGAAGTAATTCAAAGTACTCTCTCTCTCGAAAGTTATGAATACATCTTTTTCCTCATTTTCTTTCTTTACTTTGAAATAATGTTATACTTAAGGCGAAAAATATACAACAAGTCACGATAATGGTAAAACTTATTTGTGTCTGACGATGTTCTTTGCATACAGACGAAACATCACAATTGATCAAAAACAGTCAATAAAATGATTGATAGTTTATTTACTCTCGTTATTTCTTTCAAAGCTTATTATGAAAACATCGTTCCTATAGTCAGCGACAATGTTACCCATTCTGTCACGAACATCGATCACCATGCCCAAACTCCACATTCGCACCCTATTATAACAATGTAGATCTGATTTTTTTTTCAAATTGATTTCAATTGAAAAAGATAAGTCATTTGATAAGATCCTTGAGTAAAGTAGAAATAAGTGTCGTGGGAGTTTGTCACACAACCACATCCAAGTGATCTACTATAAATTGCTAATATCAAAATTCTTTTCTTTGTATACTGATAAACAAAAGGAATCTTTTTGTTCTTTGGATAAATGATGATATTGATAATTAAGTTGCATTCTAAACATGGAAAAAAACCATACAATATACATTCAATTTGTTGTGCTGAGGGACAATAATAAAAGTATGGATTTAAACAGCTACGAATTAAATCTGGAAATATAGGACTTGTTTGTGTTAATATTATTTGTTTTGTATTTGGATCGAAATAATTGATCTGCGCCTGTAATTAAATGATTCAATGTTAAATCAAATGTAAATACATCCAGCGTTTGATTATATCTATTCGTATAAAACTCAGGCGGCATATAACGTATGAAGTCCATTGCAGCATTGCTTAAATCAACGTAATGACATGATTTTGCTATACATATATCACCTATTTTAGCTCTATAGCTATTGTCAATTAAAATATTGTCTGGACGTATATCACGATGAATCACATCATGTCGATGTATACGATGCATACCTGATGCCATATCACAGGCAACTAATATTTATCTTCTATAAGTTATTTGATTATATTCTCTTTGTAGAAAATTTGTCAAACTACCTTGTGGCATATATTCCATATTAATAAAAAGATGTAAGTGACTTAGTGGTAGGATTTCATAAGACTAACCATATACAGGTAAGATGAATGGGCCATTGCATATCGCATAGCTCGCCATTTCTCCTATGAATATTTGTATTGTTGAATACGCAACTATGACAACCTTCGCATCTCGATAGTCAGAGTGCTTTATAGACCACACCTATAGATGACATTTTTGTTAGATGC